ACTCTCTTTTTAAACTCCAGCTTTGGGCTATATGAAAAATTAATTAATTTCTGGGGAAAATCAATTTCTTTATGTGACCATATTAGACAGAGCCGAGCTAAGGCCCGGAATCGCTCTCCAATCAAGAAATCTCATCTGCTCCCTCTAACTTGTGTCAGTAGTGGTTAGCGTCCCTGCGTGAGCGTCAGCGGTCTGCGAACTGCTTCCTAAATATGCTGTAATGTGGAAGGGATGGTGGCTAAAGACATGCCAGGGCTCCGAGTCAGAGAGCTCATAATGCATTGCTTTTTCCACCGGCAATCTGTCTCAGATGTGACTTTGGTGGCTAGTGTCACCATCCTGTCTCATCTCATACTTCTGGTGGTCAGGAAAAAAAGAAACCTGCAGATGATTTGACACACTTACACTTGCTTGTTTGATTTGAGACTGATTGATGACTCGCGCCATCACTTACGGTCACCGCAACCTGTTCTAAAAATCATGAACGTCCGCAATTCGCGCAATTAACATTGCAATTTTTTTAAGGGACAGGTTTACTCATGTTGTTCCAAACCTGCATGACTTTCTTCTACAGAACACAAAAGAAGACTTTTTTTGAAAAATGTAAATGCCAAACAATTGAATTGTAAATGAAGAGTTCAGATGCAAAAGCCTCTTTCTTTTCTTCTTTAATGATGATTTTTATCAAACTTGTATATTTAAGTTCAGTGATTTCACTTAAATGGCAATGAAGATTACCTATTAATTGTTATTTAAGTGAAATTACTGAACTTAAATATACAAGTTTGATAAAAATCATCATTAAAGAAGAAAATTTCAAATGGCATTTAGAGGCTTTTGCATCTGAACTCTTCAAATGTTGTTTTGGACCCCATTGACTTTCATTGTATGACAATATTCTTCAGAATATGTTCCGCAGGGGAAAAACAAGATTTAGAACAACATGAGTGTAGATAAACTGAGACAGATTTTGGGTGAACTATCCTTTTAATATGGAGGTCAAATGTCAAGAACAAAATTTCTGTCATCGAAATTTAAAGCGTGTGACGGCTTGAATAGAGGAAATAGGAGATCTTGAATAGAGAATTGAATATTTTCCTAGAACTGTTTCAAATGAACCTCAACTGAATAGAGGTATCAAGTTTCTTTTATCAGAGTCACGTTCATAACAAGCTCTTCTGCTGTCTCGTCTCGCAATGACGACGGATGCCAAGAGCACAGTTAATTTGAACACACGTGGCTAATCCCATCAAGGAAAGCTCCAGTGACTCACGGGGAACGGAAAAAATAAAAACCAGATTGTTTATCTGCTTCATTTTCAATCCATCAGCACTGATCGCAAGTGAGGAATATGGAATCATGTGTATGATTTGTAAGAAAGTGCTACAATGAATCTGTGATTTTAACAAGCCTTTTAACATGCATCCCCTCCACACACACACTCACACACACACACACATCCCCCCTCAACTCTTTCATCCTAATCAGCATCTGTCTCTCTGTTTTTTGAAGTTATTATCGCCTCAGCTCCCTCTTGGATGTGGTTGCTGGGTGACGGGTATCTTAGCACCCACTCTGACTGGGAATGATTTGAATTCGATCCAAAGATTTCCCATGAGTACCTGTAAACACATCCGTGCCTTGTCGAAAACAAATATATCAGAAGAGCACTGCAAAGAGAGTGAGAGAGAGGGAAAAAAAAGAGCGATAAAATCTGCCACTGTGTGTTAAGACGCACCCCTGAGTGCTAAACAAAATAATGACGCTCTTCTGTAAATATGCCAGTCTGTGTTGTACACAAACAAAAATATTTAGTCAAACCGTGATGCTCCTGTGACTGAACTATAAAGGTAAAAATGCAACTAAAATATCATTTAAGACCTAATTAAATGAACACACTTGAGGACATATTCTTTATTCATTTCAATTTAATTGCATTCAATAGTATCCATTTAACCTCCCATTGTTGACAACAACTGTCAATTAACCGCCTGGGCCGTACGCATCCTGACAAACCCTCCAACGTAACAGCTGCCTCAGCACTCACCTCCAGCCCAACCGCCCTGGTGTTTCAATAACCTTTCCTGAAGAGTTCAAATGTCGCCAGGCGGCAAGAAATGGACAAAATAAAAAGGAAAACAAGTAGCTGAAGTATTGCTTCTCACGGGGCAGACTCATAACTTCTATGAAAGCAGAGAGATTACAGCCCCGTATCTGTTCGGCGGCAGAAGGTGCTCATTAATCTGGGCCGAGGGTCCCCGGGAGAACGAGGAGGGGGGAGCCGGAGGAACACGTCCTCATGCGGAAGGGAGAACGGGGCGAGTCTGACTCCGCTTCGTGGGGAATTCTTTTAACGTGAGCAGACAAAGATGTAAGGCCGCTGTTATCCCGGAGCAAAGAGGATTATTAGCACTTCTTCAGCACCCTGGAAGCCGAGCAGCATGCTGGAAAAGTGAGCTCGCTAGTGCTTAGGCCATTTTATTTAATTATCTCTTTTTTTTAAACAGGATTGAAACACATTGCAGGCCGGACTCAAACCTGACCTCTTATGCTGTCAGCGTACACACAACCCATTGCACCACTCCTCTCTAAAGTTCTCCAAAAAAAAAACAACTAAATTAATATAGCGAAACATAACATTCTATCATAACTATCTAGACTGCTTTGACAAAGAAACTATCCTTCTATAAAATCCAAAATATGAGCAAGTAACAGCCCCCCGAGTCACGTCCATGCAAGAGTTATGACTTAGCGTGCTGACCTTCCCCGTAAAGAGAATCAAAGCAGATGTAGATACATTAAATCCACACTGTAAATAAGAGTCGGTGTGTTTGTGTTCCATCCGAGCAGATACCTTTGTCCATACAAATGATGTAATCCTCCAAATGGGAAGCAGACATGGAGGAGGTGATTGATTTCAGCATAACACCGGCAGTACCAGGTGCTTTCAGAGACAATTACAGGCCTCTCTTTGCAGCAGTAATAGGCCAGCACTTTAGCGTCATTAAAGCAATGTGTAGCACTGCATTATCCTTTAACCCCATCACTGACCACTCTCTTTCCCAGCCCCGAAGTTCAAACCACACACTCCATCACCTCAGGTCCCTGGGACAGGGGGCCGCACGGATTGAAAGCAAGCACAGGCCCAGAAGGAGCTCGTACAGGCAGCATGGGAAAGACTGCGAGTGAGCAGACTGCATCTTTAGCACCGCTGCTGGACAAACACACACCGCACTTGACATACAATCTATTTTTATTTACATATTCCCCTAAATGTGTAAATGTAGATTGCATTTTTAGACAATGCTTTAATTTCATTATTTACACTAATACGAAATAATGCAATGCATTTGGTGTTAATCTGCAGCTGTAATTATAGCATTAAGAAGTCCAATATATGCATGACAAGAAAGAAAAAATATATATATATAATTAATAAATTATTGCATATAATAATTGCATATATATATATATATTATTTTTTATTTTATTTTATTATTATTTTTTTTGCAAAAGTACGTGATGGTGTAATAACGTGTGATTTAACAAGAGTTTTTAATCTGCACTCACACAGAATGAAAGTGGCACTTGTCCAAAAAAGAAAATCATAGTGTTTTTATTATTATTATTATTATTATTATTATTATTTTATATATACTGTATATTAATATTATGTTGGTGAGAAATAATATCATGTTACAATTGTGGACATTCAGATCTAAAAGATTGATATTAACATCATGTTCAATGTCGAACATGTGCCTGATCCACAATATATATTTTTTAATCATAAAGTGATTCATTAAAAAAAAAAAAAAAGTTGTGATTTATTGTTCAGTTTTTGTAGCACTACAATTCCTTATTACACATTATCTGAAATTATACAACACTTGGGATCGAATTGCTGCATGCAAGGTGTTTTCATTTCAGATGAGCTGTCAACACCTTGACATTTTTAAATTAGCTTACTTTTTCTAGTAATTATTGGGCCCATTCACTTGATCACTAAAGGGTGACATTAAAGTTTCAGGGCGAATTATTCACCGATGTTACAAGCTGTAATTGTTTCCTGTGTGATTTTGTACCTTCAAGCACTGTATCACTCCTGCTATTAAGTATACAAGCACTTATTGACTATGATTTGATTTTTCCCCAGAGGAAGAAAAGAGTAGAAAGAAATGTCTGACAATAAATACATAGGAGAGAGCATCTATTATAATAATGCTGACCAACATGCTTATTTAAACCTGCTCAAATAACAGAAAACCAAATAATATTTTCCTCTTATGCTCAAAATTGCTTACAACATGCATGCAGGGTGACTTAAAAATGTGCAATAAAAAGTAAGTATAAAAATATACAACAAGAAAAAAAAGCTATCGTGTTCTATATACACTTGTGCATGATTTCCACAAAACATGTTTGAGCCAACTGTCATATATGAATTATTAATTGTGGTAAATAGTTAAAGAAAAAAGAAACCCTAGTTTGCACATGTACAACACTGTTTGCATTTATTTGTTTGCAATTTCAAAAAGTTTATTATTTATATAAGTTACTTATATATTATTATATAAGTTACTTTATAGTATTCTAAAATTAGTTGCAAGTTTTTCTATATATTATATTTTTTTTAATGATATAAGAACATGTGTTTCTTAAATGTTTTTTTTTTTTTCAACACCTTCGGTTTAGCAAAGATCAATGTGCTTATCAAGAACTTATTAAGAATAAAGTTATTGATGCCACAATAGAAATAACAGTAGCCTAAATAAACTACAAAAAAAGTTGTTTGTTGAACTTAAAACAATTGCATCCGACTGTACAATTATTTTAAGTTCTAAGTGGAACATATTTTAAAGCGTAAAGACAAATGTGAAAGCATTTGCAAATGTTCCACATATTAGGCTACCGCACATTACATTCGTTTTACTTTACTGTATGGTTCGCTTCACTTCTCTATTGATTTGGAGCCCTAACAGAGTCGCACTTGTTCTGACCTGGCATTAGTGCAGTCGTTGTAGAGGGTCTCGAAGTCTTTTCTGGAGATGAGTTTGCATCGGTTGACACCGGGCTGGATGGCCCCCAGTCCGCGCAGGATCCGGACCTGCTCCACGTTACACACCACCGGCGTGATCTCCAGCCGCTTAAGTTTGGTGTAGACGGTGTGCAGACCCCCGACCAGGTGTTTGAGAAACAGGTCAAACGCCTGGGGCAAGCAGATGAGCTCATGTCCGTCCACTGTGAAAGAGGCCACCTTGGCGCCCCTTAGCTCCACCATCCGACACTCATTATTCTGCGGGGTGTTTTCAACTGGGGACGGGGTCGAGTACACGGGCTTGCCGGCCAGTGAGATGCTGCTGGTGTTGGAGCTGAGCAGATCCGTGCGGAACAGATTCTGGGTCGCTGACTGAGAGGGAGACGCAGAAGTGGCCGAGGGCGAGGATGATGATGCTGCGGTCGCGGAGCATGATGATGATGATGCTGATGATGCTGACGAAGAAGTTGAGATCGGACACGGCTGGACCAGAGACGACTGGGGAATCAGAGCAGCCGGTACGGCCATGGTGTTTCTGCACCTATCAAATAAGTTCAGACGGGAAGGAGAGCCAGTGTGTAAAAGTAGCGCAAAGAAGAAGAAATCCCACCCGGGTGCGCTCCGCCGACGCGCGAATGGATGTGGAGAAGTGCCGTGCTGAAATTAGGGCTCTGAGAAAGATTGAGAGAGAATGACAGGAAGAAAATGAGCAGAAAAGTGTGCCTCTTCTCGGTGGATGAGTTGTTGTTGTCACAAGGTACAGAGAGGGAGGAGCCACTATCAGCCCTTTGAAACGGAGCACAATCTTCTAATGCGACCCTAGTGGAACAGCGTCCGGAACATTTCCAGCGTTTACTTACAACAGCCGTCGTAAACTCTGGATGAAACCTGCGCCTCTTCTAGGAATGCTCTCCGAAACTCAACTTTATAGCCACGCCGTGCTCCTCTGCGTCTTATGTTGTTTTACTTGAAGTTGTCATTATTTTTTGAGTGAGCTGGCAATAAGCAAATTTAAAGGTAAACATTATAATTACTTTCATTAATAAATAGGCTATTTCTGGAAAATAAATAGCCTACAGAAAAAAAACAGCTGTTTATTAAATGATCTGTTAAACATTTTAAATATGTGTGTTATTGATATTAATGCAAGTTATTATCACTATGACAAATAATGAAAGTATAGATGCAGAAAGTGCTGTCCATTTAACAGCATCACTGCTTAAGGTGAGGTACTGGAGTGGTTGCGGCATCAGTTTAACCAATTAGAAATGAGCTACAGGTGTGAAATTATTTCAAACTTGAGCACCACCCTCCTTAGGTGACTGTCCAGAGTTATAAGAGAATTCACAGGATAAAAAAAATGGAGGTAAAGTGTTACATCTGGATTAATTTGATATGCAGTCAGGTTAATGCTGCACAGAACTGGCAGCCTAACAGATTATACTGTTATAATTTATATGGTAAATGCCATCCACACAAGCTTTTCATTTAAAACAAGAAAGACTAGAAATAGCGTGTGTGAGCGGACAAGAGAGGCTGTGACACTTGAACTGAAATGTGCATAAAAAGGACAGTGTGTAGCCCACATAAAAGTAACACATGCAGTTTTTTTATGTTATAGCTTGTGTTTTTATATGTGTTTCCAATTTGAATTTAAGTTTTAAATATGTTTTCAAATTTTAAAGACATTTCCTGTGGCATTTTGATATAAAACCATAAGGGGAAATTTCTGTGTTACTGTACAAACCAGCACAGTTAATTTGTAATGTATGGAAATATTATGTGTCTTAAAATTTTGTATGGCAGGATGATACAGATGTTGAAACACAATGTGTTATAACACTCCCCAATATACACTTTTGACATATTTCTAAAAATGAAAAGACCCCCCAACGTTCATACTAGCCTTGTGTTTTTTTCTCACACGTCTCATTTTGCAACTTCACATATGTATTTCTTCAAAAAACAGATTCAAACATACGTAACTCTCCTAAAGCAAAGAGAAACCTATGAGGAAATTCACACCGTCAGAACTATCTATCCGAGTTAACTAAGAAGTTCAAGTTGATCTGCTTTAAGATAAGCAGAATGCCATTTCAGAATTGTCATTCAGGCACAGAGGTAGCATGTAGTGTAAAAATCAATACCCGCTTAAAATTCATAGCCAGACAAAGTTGCCCTTTATGTTGCTAACCTTTGTTTAAATATGCATCATATTAAGATTTCATTAAAAACAATGAATGTCATGATAGTTTGCCAACAATTTTTCATGTTAGCATGGGGTTAACTGCAAATGATGGCCATAAAAATTCTACACAAAGAACTGCTTGCAGACATTCGTTAAGAGAAGAATGATGATAAGACAAAAAGGCATCCACAAACACCACAGGACCTCTATGATGTCTCCGATTCAGAGTCTCTTAACAAGCTGGGTGGGCCTGATGAATCAAACTCCCATTAGAACAACAGTCTTTCAGTAGACAAACAGCAGGATGCACAATGCAGAGAAAGTTGTTCAATGCATTCTAACCTCGAATGTTCAATTAACTTTTATTGGTTAAATTAACAATGTCTGTAATCTTTATGTATTGGGTAAATGCAAGCATCCTGGCAAGAATTTCTCGTGCTTTAGAAGAAGCGATGTTCATTCTACATTGCATCATTATTCAATGTGCCAGGACTGAGAGGAATGCTACATGATAACACAGTCCACCTGAGAGAAGTTCAAGCCAACAATAATCAAGGTTACATACAACAAAGAACAGCTTGAAACAGCTGAGAACGAAATGTTAAACTGTTTTAATTAACTCCACTTTAAGGTCAACAGTATAGAAATAGCACGCCCACCTCAATTAGACAGTCATACTTAATCTATTCTCTCACTTAAAACACAATAAAGTCCCATTAGTTAGCATTACAATAAGCAATACATGTATTAAACTTTCTTAACATTAGTTAATGAAAATACAATTGTTCATTATTTGTTCATGTTAACGCAGGTCCGTTAAATTATATTAACAGATAACGACTTTTAATTATAAAAATGTATTTGTAAATGTTGAAATTGATAACAGCTTTAGAAGTATGTAACTAATAGTATAAAGATAAAAGTTATGGGTGCTTATGCTGCAAAAAAAATATTTTCAAAATGTTGTTATCACAACATTTTTTTCAATCAACTTAAAATTTTAAGGCAACCAGGTTACTTACTTTTTTAAGTTAAACCAACACAATTTTTTACAGTGTACAGTATATATGCGCACACACACACACACACACACACACATATATATATATATATATATATATATATATATAGTGTATAGATAGATTGATAGATAGATCGATCGATCGATAGATAGATAGATAGATAGATATCAACGCAGTCTCATCCCAAGGCGTCATATACTGATGCTTTTGCCAATGCCTACACATCCAACACACATGGTACTCTTTAGCGTCAATATAACACGACCAGAGTGTGGGTAGGTTTAGGTCTGGGGTAGGGTTAGGGTTAGACCACTAGGAGGCGCCTTCTGGCCCATATATATCAGCGTCTCATATTGACGCTAAAGGGTGCCATGTGCGTTGGATCTGCATTGGCAAAAGCGTCAGTTTATGACGCCTTGGGATGAGAACTGGCTGTATAGATACACATATAGTTTCATATATTAAATATTACACATATATTCATGTATTGAAGCATCAAAAGTTCTTACTGATTCAAGATGTTCCTTCCATAAGGGAAAAAGTGTAATTACAGAATACCAATGCGTTAACAACATTGGCATTTGCACTGTTAGTGCTCGAAAAGGATCAGGAAGGCAAATAGATGACATAAATGCTACCATAAATGCTACAAATTAAAACAATCTGACCGTTTGATCGCATTGGATAAAATGCTCAATTATCTTCTGAAGGAGCATAAAGGGTGTTCTTTGTTTCTATTCTTTTTTTTGAAAATGACATTTAAATGGTTTCTAAATAGTGCTTGAAGTTAGTCAACGAGATTTATGTGTTTCTTCCATGTGTTTATATGATATCAGAGGCCCATGATGACTGCTGGGGGATGACATGACATCGCTAATGAGGAAAGGCCCATCGCAAGACCACACGCACAAGGGTTTGATGGCGTTGCAGTGCTGATGACTAACTCCTTCCACTTTGTTTATGGTATTTGTTACAGGGAACACACAGAAAACATCAGACATACATGAACCATCAAACAAGCTGACAACAGTACATCTACTTTCTTTCCTAATCCTCAGCACTCCGGCTAGAAGACGAACGAGTCGAGAGGCATCTGGGAATAAAGTGGGTGCACAGAGTTTCTGAATCACCATAAAGCTTCTGTAGCAGTGTTTAAAAGTAGAACTACGATATGACTCGCGTATGATCAATGGCACTGTATATTGTTTGATATAATAATTTATTCAGCCTATGAGGCTTTGATAAAACAATGTTGAAAAGCAATTTAAATGAAATTCATTTAAATGTCAATTCTCATGGTTAGGATTTTTCTATAATTGGCTATTTAATTAAAATAATTTTCACAGTCATTAATACAGCTAGCAACTTGTAGTGCTCTGACATGTTTTAATTACATGGTATTAACAAAATTGATATGCTTTAGAAAGCATGGTGAATAAGAAATAATTACACCAATCATACATCATCCCCCTTATGGACATTAAGAGTATTTCAACATAATTGATGAACTTTGAAAAGGGAGATAAATAACTTTAATTGCATAAAATGGGCGTACCTGGTTCAAATGGAAACAGCCGTCATCGCATTGCAACGTATTGGCAGATTCCACTAAGCGCAAATCTGCTCACCGACTCATCCGATGAATAAACACGACTTCCATGCAGTAAATATTTGGGTAAATCTGAAAGTGCGGTACGTCTGTCTTCTGACTCACGTTCATTACTCACATTGTTCTGTTTTGGGGGGAGGATGCAGCTTAAAATGCTGCTCAGACAAACAGAGTGCAGAGTGAGACAAATACTTATTGATTTTGAATATTTGTCTCCTCAAGGTCGCATGCCATTGACCCCATCCATCCGAAGACGCCCCCCGCCACACGAATACGCACACACACACCATGGCAGAGGGCAGATGACAGAGTGGTCAGTCAGTTCATACCATCAGCTAAAAGTGTCGAGCCTTAACGTCACCTTCTGGGTCAGCGGGAGAGATGCAGGAATTGGAGAGATTGTGCATTGATAAACATGTAAAACAGAAATGACAAGTTTAAAATAAAATACAATTATATATATATATATATATATATATATATATATAGGTCTATCTGCTTTCCTTTCCATCCATTCCTTTAAAGAAATGACATATTTTGCAGGTACACAAAGAACAGGGTTAATACAGAGGCTCCCAATTAGAGCCCCCTCATTTAGTAGACGTCTGAAGGAAAACTTTATGACAGGTAGTTTGGGACTGTCATTAAATTAGATGTTGTGAGAATGATAGCACACTTTCTTTGCTTAATGAGAATGGAGTTTCTCCCCAGACTTGAATTTTCTGAGTTCACTGCTGTCGAATGTTTCACAAAGCGAAACTATGGCTCTCTTTGTTGTGTTCACATTACAGATGAGATCAGAAAGTAAACAGAGACCAAATGCGCTCTAATAAAACTACAGATCTTCTAGCCGGCTCATTTCCATAAAGCAGTTCCTGTGCAAATCAGGTATGACCTTCAGAGACATAATTAAAGCAAATATTTTTAGTCCCTGATTGGAATGTTGCATGTCAATACAAATTGTGAAGGAACCTTGTAACGGAATGCATATTTTGTTGTTTACAGGATTTATGGAATCTGAAATGATAAAAGTCTATAATGCTGCATCTGAATTTGAATACTACTCTCAAAGTAAATGGTTAACACAGGTGATTAATTAAATAGATTTTTTTTAAAGATTTACACAGTTAATCCATTTAAATTACAAGTAAGTCTCATTTATCAGTAAAATGATGAATAAAACACTTCAAACCGATTTAACAAACATGAACAAATGTCAGTAGTACTCTTTGTTTGGAGGAATTTAACTATCAAAGCTTCACATAAATTATACATTTCAGATACATTTCAGATAAATGCTGTTCTTTTGGACTTTCTATACAATGTAAAAAATAATTGTAATTTTAACAGTAAAAAAACTGTTAATTGGTTAAAAGAAAGTTCACGTACTATATGCGGTACATAACTGTGATATCATTTTACTGCAAAATACCATTAAATTTACAGTTTTTTGAAAGTGAAAAAGAAATATTTTTGTTGAAATACCTGTTTCCTCACAATTTTCTTTTTTTTTTCTAATCAGTTATGTACATTAGGGTTTTATGTTATATTTAATATTGTTCAATGAATGTTTATTGCATTTTTTTTTTATTTCACACGTGTTACCATGATGGTGTTTAATGTTTGTGTGAATGACACTAAATATTATCCTTCTAATGGAAGACAACTTCTGATTGCTCATGTAACTCTCATCACTACTGTAATGATTGATGGTTGTCAGTGTATTACAATGGTACAAAACAGAAATACAATTTTCAAAAGGTTGGTATATCAACATACTTCAGAAAATGAAATACGGTTTATTACTGTAAAGTTGATTACAGTTTTAATGTATTTTTGAGTTACGGGATTTATACGGGATATACAGGATTTTTTATTTTTTTTATTTATTTTTTTACCGTGTACATCAAAGAATCCTGAAAAATAATGCACACGACTGTTTTCAACATTGATAACAATAATACATTTTTCTTGAGCAACAAATCAGCATATTATAATGATTCATAAAAGGATTGTGTGAGACTGAAGACTGGAGTAATGAAGTAATGAAGAAAATTCAGCTTTTCCAACACAGGATTAAATTACATTTTTAAATTATTCAAATAGAAAACAGTTATTTTAAATTGTAAAAAATATTTCACAATATAACTGTTATACACACACAGACAGACATTGTATGTATATATGTAGCTTCCTAGCATAAACTTGGAACGCAGCGGTTCATTATGTGCATAAGAGATATGCTGCCATGAAATAATTATCAGATGTCAAGCTGTTCTGATGCTCAGACCCATTTGTGCGGTTGTTATGATGATGCCATCCTGCCTTACAACTCTCTCTCTCAGTCTGCGTGCATCCTGTCTACAGATATATCTGCAGATCTCAGGATTCACTTGGAAAGATGCCAGCCGAGTGTCTTGTGAGCTGAGCTGGCAAAACGTCCAACCGTATGTAAAATACTGCCCCTCTGGTGATATCAGTCTTTAAAAGAGAGCTAATTTCATTTTTTTTTCAAAAGAAGCCGCTTGATAGCCGCACAATTACTCAGCGGTGCCCCGTACCCCGTTTAAAGGCGCACAGACTTTTATATCAGGCGAGAGATTTGTGGATATCTAAATTGGAAGGTAAACCTGTATAAACAGTAGTAATTACCGTGCCATTCACAGGGCCTGTTGTGCTCGTTCGGCAACAGCCACAGTGATTAAAATGAATCTCCATCGACTTCTCCATTAAATTGCTGGCAGTGGCGATCCTTTGACCTTTCCCATTGATTGAACATAACAATCACAATTCAATTGTAATGCAAAGAGAACATTTGTTATAATGTACATGAGATGCATGAGCCATTTCCTAGAGGGTTGAGGTAATCAATGAAGTGACTTCGAAAGGAACCCGCACAAAGACTCATTCTAGTCAGAATCCGCGGTACATATCGAACCCGACGTTTAGCCGTCGGCCGCATTACTCGATACATTTGGATCCTATAAAGAAACATATTGTGCATCCAAAACCCTCGGTGTCATTTTATGCTCGTAACAATAGCCCCAAAACTGATCGGTATGGTCCGTTAGAACGCCAAGCCTTCCCAGAATTCACTGCAGGTGGCACAGAGGTCTAAGGAAATGATGACAGCTGACATTTGCCTGAATTCTTGTCTGCAATGTTCTCTGCACATCCACTGATTGGAAACATCGGTATGTGATGCGAACAACACGCCTGGTTATGAAACACTTTTAATAACACAGTCTCATCCCAAAAAGTCATATAACTGACGTTTTGGGACGTATTTTGACCATACGTCAATATCCGCCTTTTTAGGGCCCCCTTAAACGTCGGTAGATGGCGATCCCGGGCCGTCATACAACTGACGCTTTACCTTTAACGTCAGTTAGGTGACGGGTTAGGTTTAGGGTTAGGTTTAGGTATGGGGTAGAGATAGGATCCCATAACCTCATCTACCGACGTTTAAGGGGGCCCTAAAAAGGCGAATATTGACGTATGGTCAAAAGACGTCCCAAAACGTCAGTTATACGACGTCTTGGGATGAGACCGGGTTGCTTTTAAACTTGTGATTACTTGTACGTAACTCTACTCCCTCCCTCTGACCAAGAAGGAAAAAATACCCGGCTTCTAATCAGCATTTAATTCTGATTTTAAGAGCAGTGCTAGATCATGCATTTCAAAAACGAAGAGTTTGTGAATAATGTCCTTAAGGGAATCTGCCGAATTGAGAGATTATAGTTTACACGCACATTAAACAGATTAAACCAGTCAGATCTCAAAAGGCAGTTTATCTAATGGAGAAAATGGAGTATGCTAATTGGGTAAAGTCTGGTGCTGAAATTACACACACAAGTTCTTCTCACCGAGTGTAGATTTAAGGGTAAAGTTTGATTAAAATCGCAAGGCTAATCAGGGAAATAAGCTGCAAAACATTCCCCGAACGAAAGCGTGCTCGCCACACAAAAAAGTAATTGTCTCGAAAAAGTTCTGCGATGACAGATTCAATTCCATTTAGTAAATGTTTAATAAATGTTATACAAACACGGCCGCCTATCGCACTGTATTCCGAAAACAAAGGGAAACTTTAATTGCTTTAATCATCCCGAGCTTTGACGTTGTTATTGGCTTTAAAAATAGCAGTTAACAGTAACTGTCTTGTAAAGGAAATTGAACCACATTTGCAAAATGATCCCCAATTAAGATATGGCCATCCAGACCAGCAAAGTTGAACCGGGGTGTTGTGTCTAAGAAAAGCAGTCGATGCCACACAAAGCTATTTAATTAGCCGAAATGCCCAAAGAAAACAGCCAGCCTTATATGTACTATCACTTTAATCACATTTAAAGCGATAGCATCCCTTTTGAAGATTCCAGAGCACGGATGTGTTCATTAACAGATACGAGGTAGTTGCTTCTCACAGAAATGACACTTAAACGTCAGGAAGCAAAACAGAAGCGTGCATTTCTGTTTCGTGTCTTTAGTGTTCACTAATGTGTTTCAACATATAGGGCAGTGCTACCTTTAATCTGCACTAAAGGGAAATAATGCGTTTCCTGCCTTATTTACCATGCTTGCTTAGCAAGTGCTGTACAATTAGAATTGTTAATAGATTGAGTAAAACAAAAGGACTTTGAAGGTGGGAAAGTGCTGACATTATTTCACAGGGGAAAAGCACCACTGAGAAAAAAAGAAAATGAATGTAGTTTCCTGCACTGTTCTTCAATGAAACACCGCTCCCTCTCATTAGAAATGCCATAGAAGACATAAATCAAGGACAGTAAAAATTTCACTGCCTCCGCGATAAATTACGCACTTTGCGCGTCGGACAGCAACTGTGTAAACATTGTAATTTCGCTTGATTCTCGTTAAACGTATGCAGACTTTTACAATCCATAAACAGATCTGGAATAAAAGTTAATAAATGTCAAAATTTGCATTCTGGAAAAAAAAAGAGCATCTTGCTGCATTTTTGCAAATATCAATCTATGAACCTTTCAACATTTTGTCAGACAAAATGCTAATTGTACCTTTAGGAATTTGGGACACAGTGACAAGAAATGAGATGCCCTGTCCTTTTAGATGTGGAAATCAACGAGGGTAGCATACAGAAACCCTCGCCAAGGCAAAGCAAACACCGCCAGACACGTTTTCTATGTGGAATTATCAGTGCATAATGACACATCTCTCTTAGATAAAAACTGCTTGATCAATTCATGAATTCACAATACTGTAGATAGTCAAACTTTACACAACTTAAGTACTGCAAATACATCAGATCTATATTAATAGCCTACATGACTATCATTATTTCATAAATAAAGTTGTTTTGGATATTTACGAGAGCACTGTATCTGGTGAAACTGAGAATACAAATTGGTGTCAAAATTTCAGCACGCTCAGGTTTCTTCTTCATCCGTCTTCCCATCATTCCAACACTGAGGCTAATTTAACAAGGGAGAATTAAGAGTGTGAAAAGTGCTTGCACAAAGGTTTCCATGTTATTTGCTTGGAATTGATTTGAACACTTAAACAGAATCCTAACTAAGGGCTTATGTGGGCCAGGCCATCTGCATTTCACCGTAAACACACGCACATATTGGTTTACGGATATCTATCGGAAATGCCAGCTGAAGCTAGCAATGTGTTTCCAAACAAAGCATAATTTGTTTATTTTTACCCAACAAACATGTTCTACAGCGTCCTTATGAGCGATTAGCAATGTTGTTCTTCAAAGGTCCTTAAGAAGAGTTTAATGCAGTTCTTGCCCGTCCTCCCATTAATCCAAGCTCAGTTAAGAGTCTGCCATCTGGATGTGTGTTCCTAGCGATAAATATGATTTAGAGTTGATTCAGACATGTTCCCCGCACCGTGTGTGTGTGTGTGTGGATTTCAGAATTAAATGGCACAAACAAATGTGGAGAAGAGAGCATATGAATATCTCTGGTTTCAGAGCTTCATAACAAAGCCCCACCCTTAATTACAGGCTGTAATCATTCTGTGAAACACACACAACAAGGATTCATTACCGTCATAGAGCCCTTGGACAAATATCTTACAAAATATCTCCTGATGATTGTTCAGATGATTGAAGGTGTCCATGCAGGTCATTCTGAAAACTATGCTGGGATCAAGTTATTTCGGTAATCAATATTTTTTTGTGAAATTGTAACTGTATGTGTGAATATCAGATCATGCTGGATCTAATTACCTTCCTTTTGAGCTTCAGATGTTGTTCAGCTGTGCCAAGCAACAGTGACCTCTACAGGGATTGAAGATGGAAAACTCAGATACACTTTTGACTTCCTGCAGTAACCTCCTCTAAGGGGAAAACAGAGGATAGGATCATTAAAAAGCTATTAAAATACTAAAAGTTATTACAAAAAAAAATACAAAGTCAATCAAAATCTAAAATTCAAAA